GAGGCTCAAATACAGCAAGCATCGAAGGACATATCCGAGGGTAAAGAGTTAATAAACCATAGACGAAAGCTAATCAAAATGGCAGATATTTCGGAGCTAGGGTAAAAAGCAGCAACGGAGTGTGAAACCAACCCACTGGCATCGGATTCAGAAGACGAGAAGAAGATGTATCCCTGAAGCCAGGACCTCTAAGAGGCTAAAGATTTAACAGGCCACGAAAAGCAGAAACCCACCAGATTTGCTTCCTGGCATCTGCAGTACCTCGACCAGTCACGGTCAGCAAGAGCAAGGCCGGGCTTTGTTTCGGTTGCGGGCAAGCCGGTCACTGGAAGTACGAGTGTACTTAAAAGATGGATACAGTCAAAGGCGGATAAGATAAGTATTTTTGAAAGTGTTTCAAGCAATAATGTAGATAACATGGATTGCAAAATTGCTCAAGAAGGTATGAAAAAATCTGACCCCAATTTGCAACTTGGCAAGTGTTATAGTGGTGAGAATTTGGTTAAGATGTCACTTGGGAGATTAGGCAAACTGTTGCATCAGTGGGATAAAATTGGAGTTAATCCATTTATGAGAAGTTTTCGGTGGAAGGATATAAAATTCCTTTACTAACCTCGCCTCATGTTATATTTTCCGATAATAACAAGTCTGCTAAGGAAAACGCCACTTTCGGTGTGGAAGAGATACAGAGACTACTTGCAAAGGGTTCCATCTCGGAGGTTGACTCACATCCTGTCATCGTCAATCCGTTAACGGTGGCGTATAATAGGAAAGGAAAACCAAGAATGCTCCTTGATTGCAGAAATGTTAACCATCACTTGACAAAATTCAATTTCAAATACGAAGATGTGTTGGTGGCCAAGCAATTGTTTGGAACTGTAGACTTTTATTTTTTTTTAATTGAAGTCCGCCTCTCTTCATGTTGAAATATTCAAAGATCATAGGAAATATCCAGGTTTTTCCTGAAAGTATGACAAAAAATTAGTCTTCTATCAGTTTAATGTGCTTTCGTTTGTATTGGCCACAGCACCATACATGTTCACCAAATTAACGAGAGTCATTATAACGTTTTGCAGAGCGCAAGGTTTTAAAGTGATCATGTTCCTAGATGATGGATAAGGAGGTAATCGTAGTATCGAGCAAGCAGAGCTGTTGAGCAATACTGTTGAATCTTCTTTACAAGAGTTGGGATTTTTAATAGCACACGAGAAATGCGAGTGGAAGCCGCCACAGACCGTGACTTGGTTGGGTTTCAATTGGCATATGAGTGTAGGCATATTACACGCTACTTCAGAAAGAATAGGAAGAATAACCCTTGCTCTGAATTCTTTGATTTATCAAGCGAATTCAAGTAAAAACCAGCTGGTGCCTGTCAGGTTTTTGGCTTCTGTAGTTGGCCAAATAATTTCTCTGGCTAATTCAATTGGCAAATTGGTTCTATTAAAAACGAGAGCATTGTATCATTGCATTGATATCCGCGCAAGTTGGAACGCACCCGTGATGGTAACTGAAGCGGCACTTGATGAAGGAAATTATTCTGGAAATGTAACGTAGAGAGCTTGAATAACAAGGGCTTAAGTATTAAAAGCCCAGAATCGAGTGCGATTAAAGTATTCAGTGATGCATCCGCCACTGGGTATGGCGGCCATGTCTCTCTTTGTGAAGGGCATGTCTACCTTTGTGCGGGAGCTGTTACTGAAAGCACGTGTGTTAATTCCCTTTGTGCGGGAGCCTTGAACTGAAGGCAGCGATGACAGATGTGTGTATAGCACTTTTACAAACTAATGCAGCCACTGCAGAGGGTATTACTGTAGACGCCCCTTGTGCGGGAGCCTTTGCTGAAGGCAGTGATATTTCCACTTACGGCTGTGGCAGTATGAACTCCCTTTGTGCGGGAGCCTCGATGGCAGGCCGTGATGACGTACAAGTATGCGTTAGAAGATCTGTTGGCCAAGAAAGGCTAGTGGAAGGTAGTGTAGTGGTAGGCTCATGGGGTAAAAATTGGAGAGAATTGGAATCGGTACACTGAGTACTCAAAAGTAACTAGAAGTTATTGAAAAGTAGGAGAATTCAGTGCTTGACTGGTAATAAAATGTGAAGCAAGTGTTGAATAACGGTAGCAAAAAGTCTAACTTGCAGGAAATATCTCTGAACATGAACAACTTTTGTGAAACGAATTCGACAACTCTTGACCCAGAATGGATACAAAGAAAAAGCAATATACAAGCAGATTTGCTGAGCAGAACCATGGACAGTGATGATTGGAGGATACCACCATGGATTTGCATCTAATTTGAATAAACAGTGTAAAACATTTAACTCGAGGTGGTGGTGTCCAGGAACGGAGGCAGTTGACGCTTTTAGCCAGATGTGGGCTAATGACAATAACTGGCTAGTACTTCCCCTAAGATTACTTTCTGAGAATACTGTTGAAAATGCAAGCTGACAGAGCTAAAGGCATATTTGATCGTTCCAATGTGGGAATCGGCACCTTTTTGGCCCTTTTTACTTACTGCAAGCAAAGTTTTAAGTCGTTAAAGACAAGAGTATGGTACTTCCACAAGAAAAAGTCATCCTTAAAGGTCAAGGAAATAATGGTATTTTTTTCTGATGACTCCCTGAAATTCAAGTTGATAGCTTTGAAGCTAGTGATTTGAATTTGTCCAGCATCATTGTAATTACTGGAAGGGAAAATTGAATGTGATTTCCATTTTCTCTGAGAGAGATAGGATTGAATCAAAGCGTCTCCGCGGTTGAAGTGGTGGATGACAACTTAACTGACCAGATGTGTCATCATCTTATGCTTTCCAAGAGTGGTGCAACGGTGAAAAAGTACGTCGGGGGATTCAAGAAATGGCAGAGCTTTTGTACCAGAACTGGTTACACCCCTTTACCAGCCCAGCCCATTACCATCACCGTGAATCTGACGAAGCTTCTGGACTCGGGTGCATCCCATCATGTTATCTCAGCTGCAGTATACAGCATTAAATGGGTGCATGAGATGAATGGTTTAGTCGACCCAACAAATAATTCATTCGTCATTAATTTGCAGGAATTGGCTACACGTACAACTGGGCACATGACACAGAAAAAAAGATGCAGTAACATCTGAGATGTCGGTCAAACTTTGTGATATGTATGCCGAAGAAACAGATTTATTAGTTATTAGAGATCTAGCTATGATAACTTTAGCATTTGCAGGATTGCTTCCTTTCAACGAATTAAGTTCTCAGCGTTGTTCCGATATTACTATTGCACCTGATTATTTTACTGTTGTGATAAAAAAACAGCAAAACAGATCAGTACCGTTCTGGTAAAGAGGTGGTAGTTTCCAACGGTTCTACTTCCATGTCCATATTCTATGTTGTTGAGATATATGTCAGCCGCTCGTGTAGATAATACTACTTCCGCTTATTTGTTCAAACCTGCCTTTAGATCAAGCAACAGTTGTAATTAATTTCCAAAGACAAAATGCTAAGTTATACAAGAACCAGGGAGTGTGTGCTCAAGTGGCTGTCTCTGGTAGCACTCAATTTGAATCTGGGTTTACATTCCCTCAGAGCGGGAGGAGTTAGGGCCTACTGCTGCATAATGATGTCAAAGAGCGCTGTCTGAAGAGATACGGGCGCTGGAAGCGTGACGGGAGTAAAGATGGATCTGTGGGAGATTCACTAGAAAAGAGGCTAGAAGTTACCCAAAATTGGGTTTATAATAACGTTCTTAAGTTAATTTTCTTAATCCCATGCTTTGGTAACGTTCTAAGGCGCTCCCGTGCTGTGCTATTGCCCATTTTAAGAAGGTGTTTGTGTAATTATAAGTGGAGTAATTATAAGAGACTATCTGTTTCCCGCATTTGGGAGAATAGCGGGAAAGTGTTGTCTTAGGAATTCGAGCAACGCATACCTCGTAGCGTAACGGGGCATAGGATCTATATATAATAGGGAAGAAAGGAGTATTGAAATCAGTCTTAGCAAGCACTCTTCACGAGACACACGTACATTTATATTATTGGCATAAATATTCTATAATGTCAGGGTGAAGCCCAACACCCTCACGGAGAAGGATTCTGAATGTTTTGGGGCACAGATTTTTCACAGCATTTTTATTATTTTTATCTCTGTTGTTTTCCTGGACGTCGAATCCTCCGATGAAGCGTTCTAGTTTTTGAAATGGCTGAAGATGCAATTATGTTATTGAATTTCAACCTATTTTAGCCATGGTAGCTGGCCTTATTGCCAAATGAGTGTCAAAGCACCTCCCAGTGTTTGCCAGTTTACGAAGTGTTTGCGCCATATCATTATACTATAGGCCTATGTAAGTCTTAATTTAACAGATTGTTGTATGTAACGTCCAATAAAGGGACGTCGTGTCTCCAGCGCTGTGCTATTGCCCATGATAAGGTGTTTGTGCAATTATAAGTGGAGTAAAAAAAATAAGACTACAGGCGCAAAAGGCAACGTACTACGAAAAGACCTAATTACCGCAATTAAAGCTTACATTAAACCGGAAGCGATCGAAGAGGTAAACATCCGAAGAACCGGCGCTTTCAAGGTAACTAAAGAACTGGAAACTGGCGCCTACTTCCTTTGCCGACGACTTGATTCCCCTTTTCGATTTTTACAAAAAGTATTGCCGAGTTTAAAGAGATAGGCTCTTACAAGTTGCAGACGGCAATCAAGGTTAAATTCACGATGGAAAAGCCCGGTGCCGAAACTAAATTTGGCGTTTTCACATTTACGAGTAAGAATAACGTGGTGATTTATAAACCAGAAGTCAAGCACGCTTTGAAGGAACAAATAGCAAAACATCTTGAAGACGTCGAAGCTCGCAACAGAGAGGCTCGGGCTGGGTGTTTTATAAAGTCATCGCGTTTTACATCAACGTGGTAAAGTATAACTTGAACCCGTGGGAGCGACTTGCACCTTATTGCCTAAAGAACTGGCATACAAGAAAGCAATCGTTAACGTTCAAAAGAAGAATGACTCGCCATTCGCTGGGCATTAAGAGCTGCTTTAACATTTATTTCAGACAACGTCAAACACCACCTAGAAACCAACCCAAATTACAAAATTAACAACGTACCTCAACTTACACCACAGACGACGGTTTAAACTTTAGAAACGTAGACTTTCCAACTCCCTTGTCGCAGATTCCGCGAATCGAATCACAAAACAACTTGGCGATCAACGTGTTTGGTTACACGGGGAAAGAAGGCGTCTACATACTTTACAAAACTAAATGCATGGGCGAACCGATCAACTTACTTTACTTTAACCGAGGTGAAACAGCTCACTACTGTTGGATGAAGAACTTTTCTCGGTTGATGAGTGACGTTAACAAACACGACGGCATATCGTACTGGTGCTTCAATTGCCTATCTCACTTTCAAACTGAACAACAGCGAGACAAACACCGAGAAGACTGTCAAGGAATGGACACAGCACCTTCCAAAGTAGAGTTACCTGTAAAGGGCCAAGACATTCTCAAGTTTGAAAATTACAAGAACAAGCAAGACGGCTCCGTTCGTCATCTACGTAGATTTCGAGTCTGTTTTAGAGCGTCTCCCACCAGAACCATTAAACACGGTCAAGGTACAACACCACAAACCCTGCGGCTACTCTCACGCGGTCGGTATAGATGTGATGGTGTGTGTAGCAGTCGCAAAACCTACAGAGGCCAAGACGCAGCCGTTCATTTCGTGAAGTCGCTATCGAGAGAAGTTCACACGATTAACGAAACACTTGCCGATCCAAAGCCCCTCACCTGGTCGCACGAACGGCAGAAACTTCACGACAAATGCAACGTATGCCGGCTTGCGAAAGGCACATCAGCCCAACTAAAGAATCCCAGTGTCAATGCCCAATCCCAGACGAACCAAAAACTAAAGGCGAAAAGGCGGCCTTTAGTTCCTTAAACGACCGTGGTTTAAGAGAGTACATTTGCATGACTTGCAAGGAACCCATCAACAAGTTTAGAAAATTCCGCGAACATTGCCACATAATGGGCAAGTATCGAGGTTCAGGGCATGTTTATTGCACTCTCAAGTTAATGACTCGTTCATTATATTATTTTGTCAGTTTCCAATTTCATGGCTGAGAGAGTTTAAGTAAGACCAAGGCTTGGGATTCTAATCTGCTGTACAGTACACGTCAAAAGATATGGCCATTTTAATTAGTTTCTGGCTTAAGTAGTGACCTTTGACCTGTCCACCACAATTTTCATTCTTATGTTTGTGATTAGAGGCCACCACCCTCTAACTTCATGACTTGGTTTCAAACTTGTACCTTTCATGTTAATTACAACCCTAATTGGCACTTATGAGCGTTGTTCTTTATCAGTGATATTTCCACCTGAAATGTTATTCTTATGTTGCTGATTTGCATAAAGTGTGGTGCCCTTAATCATTTGGCATAAAATGGAACTTGTACCTTGCATGTTAATTAAATCCAATTTGGGGGGTTTTTCAAACGGTGCCCCCTCCCACATCCACCACTGATGGAACATAAGAATGGCAGTTTTTTGCAGGGGTAAGCAACTGCTACATCCCTAGTGCCCCAAAACTTTGTACCTTCCATGTTAAATAAACCTCTCCTATCTCCCGGACTAATATACTACTGTTGCACTTAAATTTATATTATTGTTTTTGCCGGTTGTGGGATATTATTGTGTCGAAATATCTGCACCCTCAGGCACACAGCACATGGGTAGGTATATGCTTCTGCTGGGCCTCAATGCTCCAAGATCCTTGGTGCTAGACTTGGTACATTCCAAGCAAAACCGCACAGAGTAAATAAATTTCTCAAGTGTTGAGAGAGTTGAATATCTATGCGTCTCGTCCTTGGTACATGTACTAGGTTAGAGCACCTTCATTGGTAGCCACACTTGGGAGTACCATTCTCATTTATTGACAACCTGGGGTATCAGAGGCGCTGGTAGGTTCTGTGATGTGCTGGAAATCTCTGTGTCCAATCCTGCTGGTACCTTGGCTCTTCTGATGATCAGAGGTTTCTCCCTCAAGACATCGTCCACCTGAAACAACCAGAAACACAGTTCAACATGAAAGTGAATATGAGCAAGAAGCATTCGCACGCACCTGTTTGTCCTCGACAGGCCACTGACTAGCAGATTTGGAATTGCTTTGGATGTAGTACCCGAGCAAAGTTTAGTCTTGGATTCAAATGGAAGGATCACAACATGTACTTATGCTTAATATGATAGCATTTGATTTTCTTTGTACCAAGTCACATATTTCAAGAGCTGTTTACTAAACACAAAGGCCCAATTTCACAAAACTGCTTAAAAACAGGTAGAAGGAAACTTGTGCTTTTTATAGAAGTAAAATTTGCTAACCTTAAGGACTATTTGGGCTGGTTGGGCTTACGGTTTTGTGCACATAGGAATTTCCATTGTTTTGTCACACTGTTAAGCACATTTTTCCTCAATGGTAAGCGCCCTTTGCCATGCTTACTGCCTTCGATCTCCGTGAAACACACACAGCCTCTGTAAATGTAAAATTGTGTGCTTGTTTCATCAGTCAAATACTCATATGAGTGAAAATATAGAATACCAGAACAAATGCTCAACCTGTTTGATAACACTGTCCTTCCAAGCTGTCATCTCAGCTTGTAACTCCCTGGCACTCTTCATCAGTCGATCCTGTCTACCTCGTAACTCCTCAAGGGAGGTTAAGTTAGCGTACATCAACCGTAGTCCACTACAAATAGGCTCGCTGGATATGGTCCCTGGTGGTACGGCCTTGCCCGTCATGTAGCTGTCGTACTCTTCTTGACTTAGAGACAGTGACTGAGCATCTAGATTCTCTATGAAGCTGATGGCACAGCACTGCATGAACATAAACACATAAAAATTTGGACCAACACAAAAAACTAAAATTCGACAACTGAGGTTTATTTATGAAAGATGCCCTAGTAGGTGGGCCGCAATTCAACACTGGCTGAAATTTTGCTTTGTTGTTCATCTTTTTTGGCAAAAGCAAAAGACTTTTCCATTTGTATTTCTTGGTGAAGCCTGTATGCTGGAGTCAGAGGTTAGTGATTCAAATCACATTCAGATAGAAGCAACTTTTTTTCTTCAGTTATGGACAAGCAGAATTCAAGCCTACTTTTTTACTGTAATACAGGAATGGACTCATACATACATTTTCTTAGGCTGGATATTGGATTATGGAATATTTTGTCAAACTTATATTTTCGAAATTGAAAATTCCTCAGTGAAATACATAAAGAAAAAAATTCCAATTATTTGGGAGCAAAACTGTATCTTGAAAGCATATATCAAGGAGTACACTTTAAATGCGTGTCACCAACAATACGGCCAACAAGACTTTTCCTTCAAAGTTTTTCCATTTCTTTTTGTAAAATTATGAATATTTTATTTGTGCCTCAGTACAACCAAATATTTGAATATTCCATTGAACAGAAAGTTGAATATCTAATTATTTGGATTGACTCAGCCTCAATATACATGTACATGACACTTTAACATGAAGTAGAATTTCTAACTTCTACTTCTGTGAGAGCTCAATCACAAGACCAGATTGTACTAACCACGTTAGTGAAGTAATATCCAGCTTCACCTTGCATCAATCGCGATGGGTTGGCAAACCTAGTGATGTACTGAATATTGGAGTGTAGTTGGGGTGGATTTGCCTTCAGTACCATGTAGATAAGAGCAGGCAAGTAGTCATCGGCACTTGAAGGAGCATCTTGGGATAAACTGATCATCTTGAAGATGTTCTTGCTGCAGCGGACAATGCACGATAGCTTGTCGATTGGTGCCCTGCGTGAGTTGACTTCTATAAGATCTGCAAAGGATGTACAATAAATGCCATTGCGTTAACGATGATCACATGTCTTTTACAAACAAAAAATGTTGAAATGGCCTTCAAATAACAAGCATTTCCATTCTTGTGCTTTAAAGCAGCAAAAGGATATTACTGTTCAGACTCAATTATTGTTTGAGTCTTCAGCTTTCAAGCTAAAAGTAAAAGTAAGTTGTTGCCCTGAGACAAATTTGAGCATTTATCCTGAAAAGAACATGTATTGCTGGTATTGGTCATAGTTAGGAATGTATTGTAAGCACAGACTATTGCAGACTGAGAAAAGTATTATCACTTAAGTTTTAAAAAACAATTTGTAGCATACCTGTCTGAGCCCTCTCAATTAGCTCTCGCACCCGTGGGTTTCCTTCATCAATCACAGCATCCAACATGGCTGGCATGATCCATCTCAGGCGACGGATACGATTCTGCACCGCGAGGTCCTTCTGCTCATCATCTGTGTAGGGCGGGCAGAATAGCGTGCGATACAACCTTGTCATGATGACCTTCTCCACATTATCCAACATACCCTCAAGCTGCTCATGAGATGAACCTACAATAAACAGGTGGAATATCTCATTACCGATTGGAAAAAGAAATCCTTGCTGTCAATTATCAACCACGGCCATTGAGTCCTAATGTAATGGGCATTTTATATGTACACTTGATTCAATTAACTAAAAGCCAGTGAACAGTTAGTTACATGTACATGTATGTTACACGACATTTTGAATTTTAACATGGAATTCAAAAGTCAAATAAAAAGGATGACCACTGGTTTGCAGGCACTATTCAGCCTCCCAAAAAGTCTCTGGTTTCTGGTCAGGGGCTGGCTCCAAAAGTGACGTGGCTTTCTTGCCCTTACTTTTTCTTCCAAGAAATGATGTACATGTACATACAATGCTCGATGTCCATTGCGATTCCATGTGTACATACATGTACCACCGCTACCAAACTGAAATAGACTGGCCCCCTCATGACTACTGTTTGAAAGCATTTTCAGCTTTGTACAAATGACACAAAAACCACCTCGTTTGTTCGGTTCCCAGATGTAAATAAATAATGCAGAAATGACATCATCTGACTAAATGTGTAGGGCCTGGAGGGACAGTACACACAGTACTGCACAGTACATGTACATATTACTCAACCATAACCCATCTAGAACCTGTTAAAATTAAGCAGTAGCAGAATTCCACTCCATCAAGCAAGTTTGACAGCTTTAGGAGGTCATATTATACCAAACAAAAACTTTTTTGTTTGCCGACAAGCAGGCCTGCAGCGACTTACGTGCTTTTGCCGACACGCAGGTCTCCAGTGACTTGCTAGCTGACCAGAAACCGGAGACCGTTTTTGGCCTCAGCAGCACTAACATCCCGTAATTTAACAACAGCTTTCCAACTGAAGCAGGGGTGTTTCTGAGATTGGAATTCTCCCTTATCAAAAGCTAACGCCTCAATTTGACTACAGCTGTAAAAAACATATACATGTATCTGTACTTCCTAACTTTATACATGTGTATGTATATGTGCCATTATTGTTATTACATGTACAGTAGCTCTCCATTTATTTTAATAGCCTGATGAATACGTGTGATTTATATACATGTACCTACTTTGACGGCATGTAACTCAGTGTGACTCACAGTCGAGCTGAATGTGCTGTGATGTGAATTTTACGAGAGCTACATCTACTACAACCCAT